AAAAATGCTTCGTCCCAAGATTGTTTAACGCAGGTGCGATGGGCGATGATGCTTTGCAATTTATGATGGAATTCAACCCAGTTGGATACCAGAAGCAGCATGTCGACCAAGTGGATGATGCAATTTTTGCGTCGTCCTTACAAGGTGCCAACGTTGCTAAGGCGACTTTTTTGTGGCTACAGACACTTGAATGGCCAGCCAATGTTGATGAACCTGATCCTAGTGACTGGGGAATTTCATGGTTTGAGTTGGCCGTCAGTTTGTATCTTTATACTGGTTTCAGATTTCCTATCAAGGTCAGTGGTGCTGGAAACAAATCTGTTTACATTGCCTATGACGCTGATGAAGCACTACTTCTCCAAGGTAGACAACGCTCTGCGGTTTTGCAAAGTATTTGTCTGAAGAACATGGTGCAGAATTTGCTGACACTTTTACAACAGCCTATTTTTCCGAAATTTGGGACATTCAAGTGCAGATCCTTGACTCGTTTGGGAATGACAGGTGTCATAGCTGGCGTGTCGCGACGCCCTAAGATACCTAACCCAGCTCAGACTATGCAATTTGTGAGATCGTACTTGGATGGACTGAAAGGGGTGGCCTTTGAGAATCCGATCCACGTCAAAAACCTCGAACCGCAACTGACATTTGACCCCATCCCAGAACCATCACCAGCTCAGCGCTACAACAATTATGCTGTCTTCATGAAACGCTTGCGCAAAGAACGACATTCTGCTGTGGCCTAATTCGATTTGGATCTAATTCGTGCTTTTGTTTCTGTTTCTTCTATTGTCTCTCATTCCCGCCACCAGTGCCCGGGGTGAGCGACTGTGCGGTCGACAGACTCACATGCTTGGTGTCATGTATTGGAATGTATCGTAATGTATCGTAATGTATCGAAATGTATCGTAATGTATCGTAATGTATGGTATGTGTGGTAATGTATGGTAACGTATGGTAATGTATGGTAATGTATGGTAATGTATGGTAATGTACGGTAAGGTATGTTAATGTATGGTAAGGTATGGTAATGTATGGTAATGTATGGTAAAGTATGGTAATGTATGGTAAAGTATGTTCTTTTGGTAAAGTTTTGTAAACTGTGGTACTGGTATTGTAATGTTATGGCCAATGTATGGTAATGTATGGCAATGTATGGTAATGTATGTCGTAATGTATAATAATATATACGATAATGTATGGTAAAGTATGGTAATGTACGGCAATGTATGATAATTTATGGTGATGTATGGTATATGGTAATGTATGGTAATGTAAGGGAATGCAATGTAATAAAATGTAGGGCAATGTAACGCAATGTAATGCAATATATATATATATAATGAAATGTAAGGTAGCGTAATGTAATTTAATGTATATAATGGATATAATGCAATGCAACGCAACGCAACGCAACACAACGCAACGCAATGCAATGCAATTGTCTGCCTGTCTGTCTGTCTGCCAGTCTGTCTGTCTGTCTGTGTGTGTGTGTCTTGTGCTCTGGCCTGGGTGTCCAAGTGCCTTGCGTCAAGGAACGGGCAGCCTTTTGACCCAGCTGCTCCAGTGGGCTTCCACCTTATGGGATTGAAAGGCAACTGGCCGACTCAACTTAAACCAACTTGAAGCTTCAACACCTCACACATACTCAAAACATCTCAAAACCATGTAGTGATAGGCAGATAGATAGACAGATCAAACCTAGGCATATCGAAAGCTAGACAGATCAAAGGCTACATAGATAGGTAGATACGTAGATAAATATAAAGCTGGATGTGCAGATAGATTAGACAAGATAGACAAGATAGATAAACAGAAAGCCAGACGGACAGAGAGAAAGACAAACAGACAAACAGATAGATCGATCGATAGGTAGGTAGAGTCAGATAGTGACAAAAAGATGGTGATAGAAGATGGTGATGGAAAAATTGAACAGAAAGACTGGGACCGAAAGATAACCCTAGTTATACACACTGGCAGATAGACAAATAGGTAGATAGATAGATACGCTGAGGCAACAACTCCAACAGTTGGCAATGTGCTGAGCCTGGGTTTCGAAGGTTGGCAAAAGGAACAACTTTGAGGATTGACAGCATTGACAGCGCTGATCCTTTCTTTCGCTTTCATTGTTAATATTTCTTCCCGTCCTGCCCGGGTTTGCTGGTCAAACTGATGGCATGGAGTCCTTCAGCCTCTCGCCGCACAAAGTGCTGAGGACATCATTGCGAAATCTTTGGCCGAGAAGGAATCCAGACCTCGACACGAGCACAACACCAGCCTGCAACGATCAAAGTTTCACATAGGCAGGCTCTGCTTATAGGCATGTATGTCATATAAATTCATATAATACTATAGCAAATCGATGCAAATCGTATATAGCCATGCGGTGGTCTGCTTTAAGCTTGAGGGCCTTGCAGACACCAAGGTCCGGACAAGGTACTGATGCGCTTGCCAGTCCATTGAAAAGTTCCTTGCCTCGCCAAAGTTCTTTTGCCGTCGATAGGTCAGCAGGATTGATTTGTCCCGCAGCGACTGTGCGCTTTGAAGTCAATCGGAGGATATTTATAAAAATCTTGCACACTATTGCACTGTGGTGACCAATCGAAAACTAAGTAGACTTTGAGCTTCAAACTAAAGTGGCTCAACTTGACAAAAGCGGCAGCACTGGCTGAGAGCCCCTGTCAACCAATGGCTGAGAAAAACAGAAGAAAGAGAAAGCTGGAAACAATCCAGTGCTGGCAAAAGGATCTTGAAGGAAACTGTTCGCCTTGCTTGACAAACCATTCATCGAAATTGAGTCGGAAAGGTGCCAATCGTATGCAAAGCTTGCTGCAAATAGGTTTTCGGTGCTAGGAGCCTGGGGTTGCAACTCCTCCAATCTGGTCAAGAGCTGCGCCTTTTGCCAAACATCGACAAGAAAGGCAAAATAAAGTCGGAGGAAATTGAGAACTGCCACGGTTTTCTCTTGTTTTGTCCATGTATTAGACTCCTTAGACTCCCTCGAAGCGCATTTGCAATGCGAACAACTCAATCTGTTAGCACCACACCAATCACAGGCAGAAGACTTCACCCGTGTTGTACGGTATTTGCCAAGGCCACATGCATAGTCGGTGGAAATGGCCTCCAATCTGCATAAAAGTCGTCTCCGAAAATCATCTTCTTCCGATTCAGACATCAGGAAGTTCTTGTCTGTCCTCTCACGATGTTGCACCCAACTAAGAAAAATAGCAGGCTCTTTCGTTCGCTGTTTGTAGTTGAAGCTGCAACTATGAGCATGACTGCAGCATAACATAATGTATCATAGTCGTCTGTTCTGTGTGGTGACAAGAGAATACGTGGCACGGAACTACGTCATGAAAGCAATCTCTATTGACTCTATTTATATGTATATATATATAGGAAACGACAGTGAATATCCCCTACTTGCTCACATTTCTTGGGGGAGAATCTCTTTCCGCAGGACGTCTCTCCTGGAACTACTGTATGACTCGTGCGATTGGTCTTGGCAAATTGGCTTTTTGAAGCAGCTCTGATTGGAAACAACGAAAAAGTCTGCATGAAGCTCCATGCCCAAAATTTGCGCCTTCCACTTTTTACCCGTGCCATTGCACAAACCACATGGCACACCTAAAATGACACATCCACTGTGACACCCTTTGATCTGCCACATGACACACTTATTCCACACGACAGAAATGAAAGTCTGAGAAATAGACCGCCAAGCCACCAAGGGAGGGAGACACCTTGGGACATCTACGAGTCTACAAGACTTTTGCATGCTACAGCTCCCAGGTTACCCAGGTTCCCATCGAGTATGAAGCCTTTGGTTGGATTCATGATGGGATTAGAGGGAAAAAGGCAGATATTCCGAGGATTGTTGTAAGACTAGAAAGACCAAACACGATGGCAAGACCAACAACAAAGTCGGAGAGGCGGAACGGGCATCGGAGTGCAATGGAGGATCAAAGACATAAAGAGAAATCTGTTCAGCTTCGCAAAGAAGTCAGCAGTTCAGAAGATTCTGAGCAGGGCACGTCTGAGACTGCATGCAACAGCGTTGAGAACACAGCATATGGATCCTGAAATTGTTGATATAGAATAATGATGAATAATGTAGACTCGCTGGTCTTTGGCCGCACACTGCAGTATTAGTGTGTCTTCTCTTCTGTCCTTCCTGATGAATCGCAGCTTGGCCAAGTCCGCAACTGCCAGTGATAACTGAGTCCTCAGAAATGAAGCCGCTTCGCAAAACCAATTTGATGCCAAAACTGATGCCACCTTGAAGACCGAGAGATGTGCGGGCTCAAAGCTTCATGCTTTCCATTTCTGGCCGAGTCTTCGCCTGGAACCAGATGACTTGAAAAAGAGAGAGAGAGGGGGGGAGCAGAGAACAAGACCATAATAAAAAGTGATACCGTGACAAGATGCGGATGTATAATAGCAGAAACATGTGTTGGCGTCCTTTTCGGAAGTCCTGAATATGTGCATGTTCAACGCAGGAATATGCAGCTCTAAGCCAAGCACGCCAAGCACCAACCAAAGAAGTCACCGAAGTTGCCTGTCATGTTGTTGCAGCAGTGAACACATAGCCGCTGCCGACCTTGCCCTGAAATCATTTAGTGTAGCAGTTGCTTCCAGTTGCTTCGTGTGACGCCTGTTTTGCTTTTCACGTTCAGAAAGTTCTAAAGAATATATAACTTTAAATGTCTCTTCAAAAGAGTGCCTTGACATACTTACCACACAGACAGTCACTGACATGTTGCCTTCTAAAACTTCTTGTCCAAAGGCCGGTCTCTCATGCATGTCATGACACCATCTTCAACATGTGCCAATACGATACGCTTGCACTTGGACTTTCAAGGCCATGGTCGACTGAGCCATGAAGAAAGGGCAGTAAAGCATTGAAGCAAGCCACTCTTGATATTGAGATATAATGAGATTTAGTATATTATATAAGTTGAATTAAGTGATATGAGTGGATCGGACCTGTAAGTGTTAAGTGTTGGCATCACAGAAAGGTGCCTTTGCAACGAAAAGGACAGTAAAAACTGTGAGGGGATCAAACAAAAAAAACGGTTTGCAGTCACTAAAATCTTTGAGGTGCAGGATGTCAAGATATGTCAAGCAAATGGATAGCGCGCCTTGAGCGTGAAGTTGGATGACCATGCTTCCAAAAGAATGCGGTCCGAAATGTGTGCAGAAGCCAGCCCATGCAAAAGCTCGCACATGTCTCCCAAGGAACAGTTCGGCATCAGTGTGACCATTTTAGGTAGCAATGGGGCCATTAGAATTTGTCGTTCCGGCAAGGGAGCGGGAAACTTCGAATATCCAACCAAAATTGATGCCAGGTCTCTTGCTCTCATCTCCTTGCTGGTTGCTGCACGAGTGATTTCACGCTGCAAATGCCTCACAGCTCCGACGTCAAGAAGGTCTAGTGCACCCATATCTAACACTGCACTCGCTAACTGCCGAGGACTGCAAGAGCCTATTTCGTCCACCAATCGTGCTCGCAGCCAAGTTCCAAAAGTGTTCAATTCTGACTTTTGCAATTTGTCTTTGCTCAATGTCAATGACCTTAGCAACGATACTAATCCAGTAGCCTGCAGTCGGCGACCTTGTTGCTCATGATTTTGCAACTGCAAATGACCAGCTGCCCACACTGAACCTGGCTTTGCGTCCATCTTTTCTCTGAAAACTGCCATGAAGTGGCATAGCTGGGCAATATCAGTAGGATTGAAGGCTCTTAAATTGTTTGGTGCCTCGTCATTGAAGAACTGCTGGATCAGAATGCCAAAGGCTTGAACCCACACTCGAGACTTTGCAAGAGAGCTGGCGGCCAGGGATAGATTTCGCGAATCCAGATACAATTCTGAGGAACTCGAGTGTCTTTGACTCAATGTCTCAGCCAAATATCTTATTGCTGCTTCGTCTAGACGCTGAGGTTGTTTGGGTTTTGCTGAGGTGAAGTCTGCAATAGTTTTCAACACAAAAGTACAATCCGCAATCGTCGTTCCAGGGTGTACAGATGCTGCAGCTTGTCGAAGAAGACTTTGTGCTTTTACATCGTCATGGCACTTCCTTGCAGCCTGGCACAATGCTCTTGGGCCCTCAGCATCTTGAGGAGCTGCACTCCTGACAGGCCCTTCGCTTTTCAGAGCACGTTGGTCAATCACCTCTTGGTTTTGAGCATCATATCTGTCATATCTCTTCGATTTCTTGCTTTTGAGGCCAAGTGGATCTTTCAAGGACTTGGTTTTTTCGCCTGACCTTAATAGAGCTGGTGGGCGTCCATCCAGCAATTTGGCAGGAAGAGCACGTAATATGGCACGATTGATGCTTGTTCTCCCGGCTGGTCTTTCCATGTGAGCTTGCGAAGTATGGCAGTGCAAGATGCCATGCCCGGGCGTGCTTTGACATGATGGACACAGACGGCAAGAAAAAGGACCAAGGGATCAAATGTCCTCTCCCACACAAGTGCAGCGCAGTTTGAAGTAGTCAAGATGGCAAGGTTGAAATTGATGCTAACAGGATAAAGCGACATTCTTTCTCTCTCATGTGACTCATGTATTGTATTTCAAAAAGACTGCTACAAAACTCAGTATCTGACAACCGGATGCCAAGACTGAAACCTTGAACATCTTGCGGAACATCTTGCGCCGGAGGTGTTATAGGCTTTATACATCTGTTTATAGGGGAGCTGAGCCAAACTGAGAGCATTGGCGAAGTTGCCTCGCTGAATCTCAAGCCATACAGTAACTGAACTCACACTCCAGTCACTCCAGTATCACTCCAAATCATTGCATATCATCGTCCATATTACTATCGCTGTCCTGCACAAATGCTTTGAATTCAGTGTATATCAAGGAATCCTGATTGATATCATTGCATATCTCTCCATAAGACGGCCTCGCAGTGAAGAACACTACAGCCAGGTGTATCAGTGGTTATGAATAAGTTGTGAATGAAGTAACATGATGTACCATGCATCTTGATGTTTGTAGATGCATTTCAGCGCATATCCATCCACGTCAGTGCATGTAAGTGAACCACGTTGAAGGCCAGCGCTGTCGCTTGAATCATCATCCCATCTCGGTCCGTATACTCCATATCCATGTATCACGACATAAGATCGCGTGTCTTTGCATAAATATGATTCAAGTCACTGCATATCTTGGCATGTCACTTCGCATCACATCTCTCAGATTTGGTTGTCAGTGCGAATAACAGCGCGCATCGCTGCATATCATTGTGCAAACATCGATGCGAACGCATTCTACAATATCGTAGAACCATTGCAAATCACTACATTGCATGATGCTGCTGTGGCTCAAAACTCTGGTAAGGAATACCTTGGGACTCTCGGATGTTTTTGGCGGTGTCTGTGACCCACAACCAAACTCAGGCCTGGATAAAACTTCGCAGCCTGGAGAACACAAAGGCAACAGCGATGTGATCTTTGAAAGCGGGAACAGAACAGAACAGAACAGGGAGGAACAGGAAAAAGATGGAAAAAAAATGGAAAAAGATTCAAAAAGTAGAAACAAATGGAAACATATGGAAAAAGGACAAAAGTCGGAGAGTAGCCCTTGAGGCTCTGAACCCCCTGTCAAACTAGTCCACCACGCTTCTGTTCATCCTTGCTTTTTGGTTGCCCAGCCACATAGGATACAGGTTGTCGAATCAGTGGCCAAAACCACAAAACTTGGGCAGTCGATTGAGCAAATTAAACAAAGACTTCGATCCCTTTGATCATATTCTTTTCGTAGTCATTCTTTTGTCATTCTTTGTGACTTGATGCGTACGTCCAACCACCTCGAGAGTTGTAGGACCTCAACTCCATTAAGGCCCAATGTAAGGAAAATCTCCTGCATTCCCAGGAAATCACTCTGTTGACTTGGAAATCGAGAGAATCTCAAGATTTCTCAGGGTGAGAATATTGTCAAACAATTCGACTAGCTTCTGGCTTTGTCAGACTGGGCAATACACTGCGCTTGGCAGGTGAATGCACAGCTGGTGAGACTTGATGCTCATCTCACGCACGAGCCTCAGCAGAGATAGCGGAGGCACCAGTGACTGAAAGGCATGTGATCCCGCATAACCGGCATAGATACTTAATCGAGTTATATATCTGCATCGCTTTGCAAGTCCATGTCAGCAAAGGTAAGAACCTTTCAAAAAATGTGTTCAGTATCAACATGCACCATAGCATCCAGACTGTGTCATCTACATGTGGCCTCTACGTACGAATGCAACTCGATTCCTTTTTAAATCTTTTACAAGCGATTCTGTGGCATTCCACCGGGTCCATTCTGCCTGTCGAATCAAATCAATATATCACAGCATCAAACATTGTACAGTCATTGTACAGTATACAAAGATATACAAAAACGCTACTCAATGGCTGTCATCATCTCTCACGCTTCGCCAGAATCTCAGACATCTCTATGGCTTCGATCCATTCCACAAACTCCGATCTGCTGACAGATGGTTTGACACGCCCAAAATAGACATACATCAAAGTAGCAAGATCTTCATCTCTGATTTGAAATGGTAATGCTTTTGCTATCTCAAAAACAGTTGCAAATCGAGGACTGCCTTTGTTGATTCTTGAGAAGAAAGCCTCCAAATCTCTTCGCCGTTCATCCATTGGGCGGGCAGCTGTCGCTAACATAAACAGACTCCTACATTTCCTCCACGTTAGCAGTCCGCTCCCGTCATCATCCACCAATCTGATCAGATTGTCAGCTACTCGGTCGGCTGTTGCCATGAAACCCATCAATTCCATATTTTTGGCTAGCTCAAAGGGAGCAACCGCACCAGCATTCCGTGCATCCCAACTTGAGAAAACGCTGAAGACTTCAGTTTTCAAAGCCGGTTGCAGCTGGTCGAAGAACTCAGCCCCTCGTTTTACATTTTTTTTGGCAGTTGCAACTGCATTCTTCTTCAAAGATTCTGCAAATTGACCAGTCATGGCTTGAGCACTGGCTTTATTCTGGGCCCAAGTCTCACCATTCATCACTGCTCGAGCCTCCATACCCTGCAAGTGGATCAATCGAGTGCAGTCACGCAGGAGTCCTTCAATGCCAGAGATCATGACTCTCTTCACGAGACCACGTTGCTTGTCATGAAACCAGTTGTTGGTTCGGGTCCGTGTCACGGCCGCCCTCACGGTAAGACGGCGCACTAGATCTGGAACCAGCACAAAGAGCATCAAGGGCCACTCTGCCCAGGCCAGCAAATAAGGCACTACTCGATCCCAGCCATAGACACTGCCGTTCAACAAGTTGACCAAAAGGGAAGCAACGACGGCCGCTTGTAAGAAGCAAAGCAGTTTGAACACGCCCGTGTACTCGGGGACAAGGAGAAAAGTGCCGGGTGCACTTTTCTCGCTTGGTTCTTGGGTTCGTGGCAAGTCTGAACCTTCCACCCCAGGTAATTGCGGGCGGAATCTCCTGCCTGACCGGCTTATTTCACCTGCGACTTCCTGAGAAATGTCCAGAAATGAGGCTCTGCGAATCATCTGGATAGATGTTCCTGAAAACATTCGAAGAATTTGTCGAGGATCAACCGGAACTTGCGGAGTCAACTCGTAAGTGTCCTCTTCCAAAATGATAGAAAAGGCAAAGGCAACCGCTGCAAGTGCCCAGCAGCAAATGCACTGCATTGCTTGTCCGTTTACTGACTCCAGAGAAAGGCAAATCAAAGTCACAAGCGCGACTAGGAGGAGAGCATAAAACCATGTAAGCACATCAACTTCCACTAGAGACAGAACCTTAGTTTTTGAGAATGATGTTGTACGAAGTGACAAGCATGAAAACACGCGTTAACACAAGCATGTAAACTGCAGCGAATCTCAAAGGATCATGTGCTGGGTAGTGACAAGATGTGACAAGTCTAGTCACAGTGATCAGTGATCAGCCGATACTGGCAGAGCACAACAAAGCAACCATCTTTAACAAAGCGGGGGATCAAGAAACTGTTGACATTGCATCCAAGCTGCAATTTGGCTCAACTGCTGTTCCAAAAAGACCTCGAAGCTAAAGAGTCCAGGAATGACTCCTTCCGAAGAGAGAAGCTTGCTCTGTGCACCTTCAAAGAGAAATCCATGACGAACTGCTCTCCACATGATGAGCTTGTGAATATACTTTCTGCGAAGTGAAGCACGTTCAATCACGGTACCACCATAGGTAAATGGTTTGAGCATCCTCAGCTCCATCTTAGATTCATCAAGTGCTAAGTTGCTGTCCGGGGCAGGAGATTCAGAGGAGACCCTTCGCTCCAAGTAGCCTTCCGAAATCAGCAACGATTCCATTGACAATGGATTTGTCCCGAAGGCCCGGGTACTTTCGTAGTCTGCCCATGTTTCCGCTGTTTCACGCGAAATTCTGAGAACCGCAAATCCTTGAAATAGCAACACCACCAAGAGCAAAAAAGTCGCCATGTGAACATATTCAAAGGTCTCTGGCAGTATGTTGTATTCATCAGCACCCAAAGAGATCAAAGGGCTATCTTCTGGTAGCAAGTGTGTCAGAACAAATAGAAGTAAACCAATGAAGCCGAGAATAGTGATCTCACGGAACAAAGCATCCAGGATTTCGCCACCGGTGAAGTCACCACTCGCCTTCAGCTTCTTACGAAGCCACCTCTCTGCTTTCTCAAAGCCAGCAGACAAGACAACGATGATCAAAACTTCTCCAAAGAAAAAACCTGGCCGGTTATTCACTTCCTCAGCTATAACGCTGAAAACTGCTGAGCGAGCAATGCTCGAGTGTTCTCTCGAGTGTTCTCGTGTCCGGCCCTGAAGACAAGGCCCATGTGTTATCTGACGGTGGCCTAGAAATCCGAAGGATCTTCTGGTCGGTCCACGAATAAAAGTCGTCGATACCGCGCTTGGTGCATAAAACAAACTCCAAAGAGGGATGCTCAGCACCAAAGCGCCAAAAGAGCAAACCAGGGTGTCGGAAACACTCCTGGTTGTCTTGACTCTGCGCCGCATCACACAATTTTACGAAAAGGCAACATCTACTCTGAGACTCTACTCAAGGGCAAGAAACCTTTGTCTACAATCCCTTTGGTTTGATCAAAACATGTCTGCTCAGGCGCAATCTCTCAATGACAACACAGGACACGCCTATTACGTTCCTTTGTGTTTCACCTAAAGTGTACGCGTACTGGCTCTGGCATTCAAGCCGAGGTTTTGAAATCAAATGATGCTTTCTGCGACAAACCTCAAGGTGGGCGTTTGCAGAGGACATGGACAGAACAGTTTTTTTAACTTTTCCTTTGACAATCCTTGAAGCTTGGGAAGATTTGTGAAGTTTCGAAGCAAATCAAAGGTATCCCCAGGCCAAGCCGCCGCGGCACGAACTTTGCAGATGTGCACCTGCGAGACTTCACAAAATGATGTGCGCGATCAATGCACTTTGTTTTTAATGTTTTAAATTGTGTTTTCGAAGGGAAGGGGTGTGTGTGTGTGATCACTTAAATGATCCATTCTTGTCTAGTGTGTGTTGTGCGTACATCACGTGCCATTGAACAGGTGTCAGGTGTCTGTGAGTTTCTGTGTGCAAAAGCGGACGAGCAGGTTGAGGACAGGTTGAGCATTGTTCGCCCGCAAAATGCTGTGATTGGTCTAAGCACCCTTTGTAACAGGTTTAGAAGAGGTTCGTGTACGGCAGTCGAACTGTGGCCTCTGTGGCCATGGAAATGTTGGAAGCTGGAAAAACGAGAGTATATCATATAATATACAATGAGGGTCAATGAGGACGGTGATTAGGATGTTGTCTGATGTAATTGAGCAGTTTGGGCACCAACGGCTGCATTTGTTGCAACCAGCAGTGGAATCTGGTATGTACGTACAGGAGAGTTTCCAACCCATGACAGGCTACGTGAGAAGCAAGAGCACTTGCACACACCACACTCTAACTACTGGTTTTCTGCTCCTCATGGATTACAGTCATCTGGGTATCTTTGCAGGTGGCCCAAAACAGCATGCCTCTGTCCAAGTCAGTGTACTTTCATTATGAAGGCACTGAAGCCAATTCTTCCCATTCCTGTTGCTATTTCAGACGGTCGTTTGAAACGAATCAGGCATGATATGACATGATAAGACAGAGGAAACGTGGATTTGTCAACTTATCATGATAAACACTGATATAAACACTACACCAATGCATTGGACTTTTGGTTATTTTTTGTTGAAGTGTTTCAAAATCCTTCATGAAAAGCTAACCAAATCACAGGGATGCAGATACACTCTGAATTGAGGCTGTCAGCCCGCACTTCCCCTGCCATTTTTCAACATGGTTTCACATCATGAGCGCCAAAACGTAAAAAAAATAACCGGGTTACAAAACAGTTCTAATGTCTAATTAAAAGCTTTGCAGCGGCTTTCGCGATACGCTTTGGCGGTGGCTTTCACGGTGGAAACTGCTACAGTACTCTACTCATCGGTCTTCGCCAATGCTCAAGAACATCCTGCAGAATGACCTTTCAAGAAACATGTTCCGCAGATCTGTAGAACTGCAGAAAACGGAGAAAACGGGAGGCGCACATACACAGACATGCAGAACTGGTATCAATCGATGCCCTGCTAGGTGGCCAACTCCCCAAACATGAACATCGATGTTTCATGATGTTTCTAGAGCAGGAGGGCTGGAGCCTGTTTGCCTGGTTCGGTCAAGGGAGCTGTGGCATTTTTGTGGATGGGTGGTCTATGGTGGTCGGATCAACCACCTATCGTTTGCAGTTTTTATTTTACATTTTTTCAAATGTACGCGCGCACAACTCAGCAAGGAAACAGACAGCACTGAGATTGAACTGAATGCAAAAATAAGAAAAATGAATAAATACAACTCAAATCAACTCAATGCTTAATGATGCTCAATGATGCTCAATGATGCTTAATCATGCTTAATGATGCTTAATGATGCTTAATGATGCTTAATGATGCTTAATGATGCTTAATGATGCTTAATGATGCTTAATGATGCTTAATGATGCTTAATGATGCTTAATGATGCTTAATGATGCTTAATGATGCTTAATGATGCTTAATGATGCTTAATGATGCTTAATGATGCTTAATGATGCTTAATGATGCTTAATGATGCTTAATGATGCTTAATGATGCTTAATGATGCTTAATGATGCTTAATGATGCTTAATGATGCTTAACGATGCTTAACGATGCTTAACGATGCTTAACGATGCTTAACGATGCTTAACGATGCTTAACGATGCTTAACGATGCTTAACGATGCTTAACGATGCTTAACGATGCTTAACGATGCTTAACGATGCTTAACGATGCTTAACGATGCTTAATGCTTAATGCTTAATGATGCTTAATGATGCTTAATGATGCTTAATGATGCTTAATGATGCTTAATGATGCTTAATGATGCTTAATGATGCTTAATGATGCTTAAGATGCTTAATACTTGTCACCGTCAGTTGGGCCGGATGGCCTTGGTTGTCAGCCTTCAAAGCTTTGACCTGGAGTCTGGCCTGCATCGTATGCATCGTGCGCAGTGGGCCGGCAAAACTCGTGTTTTTGAAAGTTAGCAAAACACAATGCTACAATACTAAACAGATTAAACAATGATCTACACAATACTACGCAAAACTAGACAGTGAATACTACTCATGTTCGTGCTTGCGAATCTTTCTTAAGCCTTTATTCAATGAAGTTGTTTAAACCTGTACTTCATACTAAAAGCCATTCTGCGGCACAACGTCTTGCCTTGCATCGCAAGAGGATGCCATCACAGCAGTGCTGCTAGCACTGCCCTTGACGGCCAGTCCCGCCTGTCGTGGAGGTGACAAGACTCACAAAGGGCACCATATAGGTCCCCACAAAATCCATAAATGATTGCCCCAATTTGCAAGGGCTGTCACAGGTCCAAGCGTGGTCATTGGTCGGAGTGCATGACACGGCATGACATGGCATCCCCAGCATTTGACTTTGCTTGTCCTGTCAAGACAGTCTTTCTGCTACTCCAACATGGAACCTCTTTATTCACAAAGGGACATCTTGCAGAGAGGCAGCCAACTTCATTACACCCTCCATGCCAGCTTTGCCAAACCCACACAGCTGTTCATTGATCCTTTTGTCGCGTATTCCACTGGCCCTGTCAGCTGTCTTTTGGCCGTGCTCCGTCAGCCCGCAAAAATAGCTCAATGCAATTGCAAGCCTGCCTGGATCGGATCTTCAAGTGCGCTTTTTGTGAGAGAAACAGCCCCACGGGACTTCACTTGGTGTCTTCGCTCTAGCATGAAGAACGTTGGTTGAATCTTTTGGATGTGGATTTTGTTTTGCTCAAAATGTTTGCAGTACCTTATTGCGGTTTGTGCTCTGTGCGAAGGAAAAATCCTTAAAGAATTAGCTAGCATAGTATACCTACAGTATCCTACAGTACTTTATGAGTCATGCCTTGAAAATTCCGTCCATGGCCTGCAGCCGGCGCCACCATAACCCTCTAGGAGAAATGTCCGGCACATGGAAGGAACAGGTGTCGCCGCAGTACGTGATCGCTGGAACCATAGCCTTCATATCCAGCGGGAGCAACAACACGTGGTGGACAGCTCTTAGCTGAGAAACTTTGCTGAGGCTCATGAGAACTGGACATGAGAGGCTTGAAACCATGAAACTGCCCAGCAGCTTGCATGCCACAAACATCATATGGGTTTAAAATTAAGCTAACAGATCAGCACCAACAGGTACCGTATATAGTACATGTTTGGAACAAATTCAGCACGCAAGTGCAAGTGCAAGCTTGAAATACTGGCACACGGGAAATTGTCTCCCACATGGCATGGAACCCTGTTGAAGCACGGCAGTCTGTACATTGCGGTCGCTCTGAGCTCAAAGAAGGACAATGCAGAAACAAAAACAAGGTGAACTATCGTATCGCAGTGAAATCAAATTAAATATTAATATGATGACTCTATCCGGAGAGCACTTGTAGCTAGTGCCGCAGCGATATATCGAGAATAGCAAATCAAAACCACCAGCTCGTGCCGGTCGAAAGCAAGTGGAAGCGCATGAAAGTGGCTTGTGCCTTGCTATGTTGCCAACTGTTGGCATATCCATTTGGCATGGCATCACTAGAACCAACCCAACATGCCTGATAGGCAGGCACTATAGTTTGCAGCTCAACCAAACGAAACCAATATGTGTTGAAAGCTGCTACAACTGTAAGGCAAATATCTAGCGCTAGCAACTTGCAAGCCAAGGAATTCCTTGACTGCGCCTCCACTACATGATTCCGACAGGGTTGTACACTTGCCTGTGTTTCATGACATATACGTATTGTAGAGGTCTGTTTGTAGAGTATATGTGATTTTCCTCATAGACATTTCAAGAATGAGGGAAACCGAAACTCTTCATTTTTACTAGTGCATGAGAATAAGTAAAAGACATCAAAAGTTCGATCAAAATTTGCTCAATGATGCTCAATGTATCTAAATGTGCTACTGTAAATTGAGTTCGGATCGCTGGCCGAAACCAGCTTGAAAAGCGCTCACCTCAGCGGCATCCATTCAAGGTGGCAATATCTTGTAATATCTTGCAATATTGGAAAAATTTGAGAACATTGCAAGGAGGAAATCAGGCTCTAGATTTGCAAGATTTGACAGCCATTTGCTTGAACAAGTCAAGGAATCTCTGGATAGTATTCAATAAGAATTGAATATGCCTTTTCTGCATCCTTGCCTCGTCTTAGAATTTTCCCTGTAGTTTGAGCTGGTAGTCAAGAGAATCAAGGAACATCTGTGCACGGCAAAAACATCGCACAGAAACGGCTGAAACATGCAGAAACTGTTCCAAGTTCGGCTGAGCATCTGTGACGATGTCGGAGCCATCCACAGGAGTCTTAGGCGTCACACCTTGGAGTACTGCAAGGGCTAAGCGGTCCACTTCATATTTTTCACGGTTTTTTTCGTTATGTTTTTCTATATTTTTTAAAACACAGAACGTCACGAAGTGCAGAGAGAGATATCATAGGGATGCTTTGGATACGGGAGCAACATTGCTTAAAATTATAGCAGTGCCACATGACAGTACTCAAATGCTTGGTGATAGCATGAAAAACGGTGCAATAATATGTTGCAACTTGTTATTCCTGTACATACATGTGTAAACACACACACACACACGTATATGTAGTAAGATGTGTATATACTCATGAGTGTCATATGTATATGTATATACGTTTACGTGTAGCTCCGGAGGAGACTACAAAGGTAGGGACCCAGTCACCCCCAAAACTTTCGGGGTTTGAACAAAAGAGGGAAAACCAATCCTCTTAATCGGCTCACCAGGCACCCTGTGCCTTATACGCCCCTGGCGTTACACTTCTCGATTTGTGCTGCGCCCTCGCAGCCGTTTTCCACGCCTCGCGGACTTGAGCCAATCGACCCGGCAATCACGGCACGATCCACTCTGAGCATTGGTTAACACATGCACATCCAAGGCTTCAGGAATCACACTGGTGTATTTTCTCCTTGGATGTGTATTCCTCTTGCTTGGTGACCCATTTGGAAGCCCACTTTTTCTGAGTATTGTTCTTCAAAGTTTGGTTCTCGTCAGAGATCCGAAACGTCACGTAAAACACTTTTGTGAAACAAGTTATATAGTTGAAAGTTTTGTACTTTTTTCCCCTGTTACCGTACCAGTGCACTGTAGACTGTGGAATGTGGAATGGGGTGGAATGCAAAGAGTGGAGTGTGAAGAAAGTGGAGTTTGAGTGGGGAATGTAGTGTGTAGAGTGTGGAGTGGGGATTGTGGAGTGTCGAGTGTAAAGTGTAAAGTAAAAGGTGTGGGTTGGAAAGTGTGAAGTGTAGAGTGTGAAGTGCAAAGTGTAAAGTGGAAAGTGTAAAGTGCAGGGTGTGGAGTGTAAAGTGTAGAGTGTGGAGTGCAAAGTGCAGAGTGTGGTGTAGAGTGTGGAGTGTGGAGGGTAAAGTGTACAGTGTAAAGTGTGGAGTGTTGAGTGCGAAGTGTAGACTGTAAAGTTTGGAGTGCGGAGTGCAAAATGTGTAGAGTGTGGAGTGCGGAGTGTAAATTGTGGAGAGTAAAGAATAGGGTGCGGAGAGTAAAGTATAAAGTGCGGAGTGTGGTGGAGTGTAAAAGTGTACAGTGTAGAGGGTGGAGTGTGGAGTGTAAAGTGTAAAGTGTAAACTGTGGAGTGTAAAGCGTACAGTGTAAAGTGTGGAGTGTAAAGCGTACAGTGTAAAGTGTGGAATGTAAAGTGTAGCGTGTGGAGTGTGGAGTGTAGTGGAGTGCAAAGTGAAAAGTAAAAAGTGTGGAGTGTAAACTGTAGAGTGTGGAGTGTCAAGGGTAAAGTGTAAGGTGTAAAGTGGGGAGTGTAAAGTGTAAAGTGTAGAGTGTAGGGTGTGGAATGTAAAGTGCGGAGTGTACAGTGAAAAGCGAAAAGTGTGGCGTGTGGAGTGTAAACTGCGAAGCGTGGAGTGTGGAGAGTAAAGTGTAAAGTGTGGAGTGTGGAGTCTAAAGTGTGGAGTGTAAAGTGTAGAGTGTAAGGTGTGAAGTGTGGAGTGTAGAGTGGAAAGTGTAGAGTGTGGAGTGTATAAGGCGTATAAAGTGCAGAGTGTCGAGTATGGAGCGCAATTGTTTTAAAAAAATGTAATAGTAATGTGTAAAGTGTGGAGTGTAAAGTGTACAGCGGATTGCGTAAAGTGTAGAGTGCGGAGTGTAAAGTGTAGAGTGTAAAGGCTGGAGTGCACAGTGTAGAGTGTAAGGTGTAGAGTGTAGAGTGTCGAGTGTGGAGGGTAAAGTGTAAAGTGTGGAGTGTAGAGTGCGGAGTGTAAAGTGTAGAGTGTAAAAGTGTAGGGTGTAAAAGTGTAAAAGTGTAAAAGTGTAAAGTGTGGGGTGTAAAAGTGTAAAGTGTGGAGTGTGGAGTGTAGACTGTAGCACTGTAGAGCGTGGAGTGTGGAGAGTACACCCCGCATTTGGTTGAACCTGCTCCAGGGACCCCAACCCACAAGTGTCTTGGGTTCAGGAGGAGAACCTTTCTAAGGAGTACAACTTGTCCTTCAAATGCGGACGGATCCCCATCTTCTTTGGTGAATCTTACGGCTTTGCCCCCTTGACGATTTACTTCTTGAGTCAGTGAGCTACTGGGTTCAGTATTTGCCTCTTACAAATCGATTCTACGAGGCCTGTTGGGCATGTGATGAATGCCGCTCATGAGCCATCTATACTCTTCCTCACTGCTAACTTCAAGATCATTGCAGGGATGCTTCACTGGCGCACTCATGCATTGCCTCTCAGAGCTTGACGTTCCAGTGACTCGCGCGCCTGGATGTGCATGATGAAGTCTTGCATGGCTGCGTTTGCAGAAGGCTCGGGTCCAGCTGTTGTAGCTTGGATACTGCTCGTAGATCTCGGCATATCGGGTGCCATTGCGGGTCTTCCCCCACGATGCACGCTTGTTGCCCCATCATTCCAGAGCTTGGGCTGTCAGGGCAATCTGATTCTCCTGATTGCTTGGTCGGAACTTGACTTGAGGCATGTGCAGGTTGGCGGACTCCCGCCGGTCTGCTGATCATTGTTGTCTGGGGCAGTGCATTCATCTCCAGGTTCTGCTGAATGATCTTGCTCATCTCGGGTTCTTCCAAATCCCAAGATTTGTCGATAGGTCGCCAGCGTCGAAGTTTCCCATTGTTCCAGGTTGCTTGGGCTTCCTGGGTGATCCGGACAGTGTGCGTCCTTGGAGCATCTTCGACAGCTGTTCGACGCGGCCTTTCTGATTCTGGTGGGCACTTGGGCATGGTCGGTGGCAGTCTCCTGATCGGGTGCTAGAGGAGTCGAAGGGACTCCATGATCGCTTCGGCCGTGCTCTTGATCATTCTCATGGCTTCCCATTGAGTCGGCATGATCAGATTGGAACGGGAGGGAGAGACCTGGTGGTGGTGCAAAGCTTGGTGCTTTCTGTGCTACCGCTGTGAAACTCGGATGATGATCTTTCAAAGGCGGCATGCACAGCTCGGACTTGTTGATCAAGTACAAACCATTTTGACGCTCGCCTAGATTCAGCTTTCTGTTGATCGTGGCAAGGAAACAGTGGTTGGTGGCAAGGTCAATTTGCGCTCCCAGCATCTTCATGGCTTGAATTGATATATAGTAGGAATGGCGTGCTATCTGGTACAACTTCTACTACTATCCATATGCAGTGAGTGGCAGTCATGATGTGCACTTGCTTCTGACTATATGTGATTTGCTTATTTCCAAAACGAAACCCAACATGACTTTGCTTCTCACGGATCTGGCTTCTCAGACTTGGAGGCTCAAACTTTTTACGACATGAGCCAGGATGCCTTGTCAAATCCCACTCCTACTGGCACCGGTGTCCAAAATGGCCAACCCTGCATTCTTTATGTTCTCCATGTCCAAGTTGCTATGCAGGCATTCCATGGTTCTGGAGGAAAAGAAACGCTTCACTGCTGGGGTACACGTTTCAACAAACATGATGTCATGGACATGGTTCGGGTTTTTCTCCATGCCTTGGATTGGAGACTTGGCATGTTGGTGCATGGGCATCGGCTGTGCCCTGGCTCTGCAACTCGGCTCTAATCCCCTGATTTTACTCTTACCGCATTTACTATCTTACCCCATCTATCTACCCCATGTTCAAACTTTTCCCAGTCCTCCCACTGCTTGGAAAAATCATTGATCTCTTCATCCTCGGCGATGGCTTCGAAGATCACCTGGGCATCTTGGACTTCTTCTGAAGCTTCACAACGTCGGTCATGATGCAGGGCAAAGTTCACATGGTTTTAGGCTCCGCTGGAAGGCTTGTTTGGGCACTCTGCCCTCCAATGGCCCTTCTCTCCGCAAGCCTTGCAATTTGTGTGGACAAAAGGCCGCCCTTTCCGGATCCCTGTCGGAACCCCTTGCCAAAGCTGCTCTTGCCCTTCCCCTTGTTGCACGTGGGCCAGGACCCTCGGGATTTCTTCTTCTCCAGGATTTTTGCTGGGGCCTCATT